CCCCTCAGTCACAACTCGAGGCAAAGTTACACTTAAAACACTTTTTTTTTTAATCAAGGAAGTTGAACAACAACAAAAAAGCTCTGTACAGTAGTTAAATTTTATTACAAGTGTAATAAACTTACTGATTTTTAGCACTAAGGCAATCACAGTTTCATAAGTTAATATATATATATATGTATAAAATTTACACAAGGCTACACTGACAAATCAATTACCGGTCACATCAACGAGGGGTTCGTGTTATGGCAAATAAAGTTTATGAAAATTCACAGTTAATCTGCAAGTATTCTGAAGATGCAGGAATGATATTGCACATAATAAAACAGCGGACGCTGGGGAGCAGATTTACAGTGTTCCAGCTATTCCTTCACAGAATGTACATTGGTCATCATCATGCAGTAACTTCAAATACAGAATGGTATCATGTACCACGGTAAACAGTTACTCACAATGTAAGTTTTAAATAGAGTAGCAAAAAGCTGTTAGGTTTCTCTTTAAACCATATTTAAATTCTTAAAATACAATAAAACACTTTGATAAAATCAAACGGAATTACGGTTGTCACATTATAGTTTTAGTATTCTTCCTTGTCTTTTCCTTTCTTTTCCTTTTCATCCTGTAGTGCAGTACCAAGTTTCTTTATAAGGACTGACAAAACTTTGTCCAAAGGATCCATGACACCGCGCTGCAGCCACTTAGGAATAGTAGTCCTTGCGTGGTGAAAGCCCAGCTTTTGGAGAATGTAGTCAACACCAACGGGATCAATTTTTCTCCCAGTCCAGGATATTAATCTAAAAAACAATAAACAGGGGACTCAAGTCTCAAATATATAAATATAGCAACCAGCGTTTGTATAAACAAACATCCATTTTTACCATTGTTACTTCTGACCAACTTAAGGCCAACAGGCATTGTTTTCAAACTTAATTTATACAGACGAGCTGAAGATGACCAATGGAAGAGGATGTTCAAGGAGGCAAAAAAACAGACTGGGCTGCCTCCAGATCATTGATTTATTATTACTGCTAACACGAAACACCAACCGTCCAGATTTGTTTGGCTTGGGTTGATGTGTTGTTTTGATATGGGAATGAACACTTAGGTGCTCCAGCAGTGTCAGCAGAGGTTAAAAAACAAACAAACCCCAACACAGAAAAAAGTAATTTTCAGTGATTAAAAGTGTATATTGAGAGCAGTGAGTTGCTGCTGTACACACTATTCTTTTGTGCCAAGTTTAAAATGCCATCTAGCAACCAGTATAGAGTGCTTTTTTATTTTAAGGTGACTGCTTAAAGAACAACTAAAACTGGAATGCTAAAAAAGGAAAACTGCAAGATGAAAAACTATATGGCAGAAAGTGAATGGACAGGGTGAAACACAGTAATCTCTGGTCCTTAATGAGTTTAATTCTACTGTATCCTAATTTTGAAGAGCCTCCAACAATATCATTAATCTGCATAGGTTCTGATCTAGAAGTTAACTGATGTAATAGATAATTGCATTATCCAGCTTTTCTCATGTCCTGTAGCAGGTATCCTTCATAGCAGCGCTAATAGCCAAAGACAAATCTGTCACAGCATCCACATGATTGATCCTGTTCGGCGCTGAACAGCATCAGCTTGGAAACACTTGTTGTTTGCAGGACAGCACCCACAGATAAAATCCACAGACGAAGAGACTGCAGATAAGCCTGCTTGTTACCTGAGCGTGGGTTCCAAATGCCAAGTATTGCACATAAATTCTCTCCAGTCAACTGTAGTGTAAGTAATGCTTTCCTCTGCCTCTTTGTCAGTGGAGCTGTCCTCAAGAACACCAACGGAATTTTTCTGCCCTGGACGAGCAGCCAAAATGCGAGGAGGAAAAATTGCTACAGAACAGAGAGAGGAAAAACCCCACACCAGTCAGTCATAGCACCTCACTTGAATTCTCTTTGTACATCATTTAAATAAAACACAAGCACAAGTCTCAAACAAACAAACAAACAAACAAAGACAACCACCTTGTGTTTCAGTTTTACGGAATTTCTGGCAAACAGTTTTGGTTTGAACAAAGTGCTAGTAGAAAATATCCTATGAAAACTGTAATAGACACTGGATAAGACTGGAATGAGGGATTCTTCTTTCTCTCTGCCAGCCCAGAGCATCTATACACAGGGGCTTGCTTTCAAATTCATCATCGCATTCAACAAAGCATATCACATTCCATAAGCACAATTCAGACACACTCCTAGCTTAGAGTATTTTTTTAGATTGATAGAGTAGTCTCTGAGGAGGAGGATGGTGGGGGAATAGTTAAGGTAAATCTTTATCCAAGGGCATCAAGGGGACCTGAACCCAGCTCTTACTTAAGTCCTGGGATACAGAAAAGGGACAGCAGCTCCTTCTCCTCCAAACAACATATTTTATAAAATAAAAACAAATCTGTGAATTTGAGTTGAATTGTGATTGATTTTCAGATAGCATGAAAACAAATTTTTTGACAAAGTTCCACCAAAAATAGTTATCTTCCCCTTTTGTTAGTTTCTGCACCTGTTGGATGTTTTACTATAAAGTGCTTTTAGGAAGCATTCCTAGCTCTGTTGTATACAATTACACATAAACAGATCTTGATATAGTTAGTTATAAAAATAAACTTTCAAAATACTGAATTTAATGTGTTCTGCATCATATAAGTGTTACATTTATACATCACATCATGTTACATCACATGATTAAATGTTACATTTTCTGTACAGTTCAGGAATAAACGCAAACTACCCCGCACAACACTGAATTTCACACACACCAGAAAAACAAAATACGTGACTTTCACTGCAGTGGTAACTCATCATTTACACATACTTTACTCTGTTACATTACTCTTGTGGCAGCCTTTAAAGAAAAAAAGTACAGAAATGAGAGTCTAGAGCAGGATTGCTGTGGCAAAATTTGGAAAATCTTAAATTAAGATCAGAAGTTGTAAAACTTCAAATAAGCAGCTTTTCATTTCAGTGATGACATCTCATCTGACATAATATATAATTATATAATACTTGCTCTCCACAGCTTCCTGAGGAGAGGAGGGGGAGAGGGAGGTGTTGGTCTCTTCTCCCTGGTACCCAGTGATAGGATGCGTGGGAATGATTCAAAGCGGCGCCAGGGGAGGTTCAGACTGGACATTAGGAAGCATTTCTGTACCGAGAGGGTGGTGAAAGCCTGGAACAGGCTTACTCAAGAGGCGGTTAATGCCCCGAGCCTGTCAGTGTTTAAGATGTGTTCGGACAATGCCCTTAATGTGCTTTAACTTGTGGTCAGCCCTGAAGTGGGCAGGCAGTTGGACTAATGATCGTTGTAGGTCCCTTCCAACTGAAATAGTCCGGTCTAGTCTGTTCTACTTACAGTAAATGTAACATCTGAAATCATTTTATCTATGATCATCACCTACAGTGCCATTACGATCTCTTCCAAGTCTTAGTTAATTTAGTAGAGGTTTTAGATACTTGTGGCAATAATTACTTGTAAAGCATTAAAGCCACTAGATGATGGCCTTTCCCTTCAACATGCAGGTAATCATAAAGCACAGTCAGTCATTCAGTACCACACTGTTTATTCATCTTAAGTCTGCAACAACAAAAATCACTCTGTATTTGGCGCACTTTACATATACATCAAACTCACTTGTCTTCAATTTGCTGTTCTTAGCAAAGACCGCATATTGCTTAAGAATACATGTGCCAAATTCGAATGCTGTAACTGAACATATTCACGTGGAAAAGTAAAGCATTCTGAAGTCAGAAAAATGGATGTCTTGAAAGAAACTCTATTGATGAAAGACTGAAATAAAAGTAACGTAGCTTCCTAAAACAGTTTTCATCTGCATATACCATCTTACAAAATGAAAGTTAAACTAAACACCAGGTGTCAAAATTGGAGCAAGATTATGACTTAGAGTAACTAGCACAAGCCCATCAGTAGTGGGTAAGGAACAGAAATCCAGGAGTATGTCTGTTCTCTGCAGCATACTGTACGTAGGTACTGCACTGGAGGTGACTGAATTGTTTTTGAACAACCGGTTGTACCTACACAGTGTAGCAAAGTGCCACGCAGAGATACTAGTACAGCTCCCTGCACAGCAGTGGCACGTCAGTGCGGTGACACTACCAGGTTTGAAAGCTTGTATGCAACTACCCTGCTTCCACCTCTACAAGAGCAGACTTAGAGTCAGCTCCAGTATTTCCTCCACAATGTTGCAGTTTTTGAGACGTGACAAAACATCTCTTGGCTTTCAGCCTAAAATAGCTCAGAAAAAAACTTTTTGTTATTGTACAGTTAAATTTCACTTACCAGTGATTGAAAGGGGTAACTATCATTTCACGGCATTAAGTCCAGATTTCAAGAACATTTAATCCTACTTCTGTTGATTTCAATGGAAGCAAAGTTAGGCTTAACTTTTTTTTTTTTAAATTAAATCCATTTTTAACAAGTCAACTCTTAGTAAAAAGTATGAATATATTTACTATCAAATAGTCTGACAACTGCAGATTGTCAGATGAGCGTTACCTCATAAATAACAACTTACCTTTTTCTTTTTCTTTTAGATAAGCAGATACCAAGTCATGGAGAAACATAATCAATTCAGCATCCATAGTTACACAAATGTGGTCTGTAAATTCAGTTACTACACTGCATTCCACCTTTGGTTTAACACTTGTATCTACAGTCAGATAAAAATAGTGTTAATACACTTCTCAGTATGTACAGTATACATAAAAGTACACAGAATTTGAATACAAATCGTTTGAAAATGACAATGCTCTTACTGAACCAGAGACTCAAAAGAGAGGAAGGACCACAACTAACATCTGTGTTTAGCAGCCTCAGTGTCATTTTTAAACCGTTTTCCCATCAGAATAACTTCTAGTATTTTACAAAATATATTGAAAATAAAGAAATACTACCGTGTAGCAATCTTAATCAACCTAGAGCAGTATCAGTAGCTTGTGCTATGCTATCAATGCATGATTTTAGACAATAAGAAAAGCTGATAGCAGATTTTGCTAGTTTGGCTATTAAAAAAACAACCAAAACCCAACAGGTTGACTTATCTAGCAGTATTATCCAGGATCCAGTATGGAACAAAACCATAGCCCAGCCAAGTTAAACATCTACATCAATGTCTTATACCTTCAGAGGTCTTACTTCCCACTAGTTCCAATTGCAGTCTGAAGATAACATTTTGAAAACAAGAGCATAAAATTTAGGTTCCTACCTCATATTCCCTTTTGCAGAACAGGCCTCCTCTTTAACATTTTAATAAAAATAAGAAAACTAACCCCCTAAAACCAGCCAACTTAGCTGATATGTTCATATTGATTTCTCTTAGTAAGTTTTTCTATAGCGACTAGGTCTCTGGACTAGATCTTCACTCTCTCAACAGAACTCCCTCTTCATTTTATTATGAAATGGTATCCTTTCTTGCAGAGCTGCAGTAATTCTCAGATTAAATCCTCTTATCAGCACAGTTGTGTCGTATTTAACTCCTCATTTATAAGAAATAGCTTTGGATCAAGAAAAAACAAATTATGTTTACTTCACCTTGTAATGAAGGCTCTTGGGGCTCTTGAACATGGATAGATTTAAAATCCAGCTGCATCCTTGGTAAGGCAAAGATGGTTTCAGTTTCATGGTTGTAACTGGAGCCACCTCTGAAGCCACTTAGTAAGCTTGAGCTTTTCACTGTTGTGCTGCTCTCTGGGTTGTTGGCATCAACATTTCGAAGCAGGTTTAACTCTACATGGACAATGGGAAATTCCAGAATTCAGTAGTCTTTATTAAAAAAAGTTTCTTGTCAGCACAAAGGGTGACAAATTTTCATGAAATACATCTCATAATAAGAAGGGGGGGGAGGAAATAAGTGTCAGTACCATAAGATCTAAGCACTTCTAAGAATCTGTTGGTTTTTTGGAAGCTTCAGTCCAAATTTTATTTGTCTGACCACTCTATCACAACTCTGTTCTAGCAATGAGCTTTCAGTTAAGTGATATATAGACTGTACAGGTCCAAAGTGTGCCCTTCATGTTTGAAAATATGGTAGTACTTAAATTGAAAATAAATGTTTCTGATTAATACAGGTAATATCTAAATTCACTGAGGCAGCATTGCTGTTGGAAATCACTGTTGACCAGGAATCCAACTTTCCCACAAGACTTTTACCATAGTACACATGCAATATCATTTGAATTAGTTTCCAGTTGTTAACATTGTGACAAGACAAAAAAGAAAGGTTACTATTTCATTGTAAAACTGCTGGTAAATTATTATTAAGAAGGTTATATCCTTTATCTTGCTCCCTAAAGCATGGCTACAAAAGGTTAAACAATCAACTGTTGTTGTTGTTTATATACTTAAACTCTCCGGATGTAGCAAAACAGGGCTACATAAAAACATCTAACAGACAGTGCCTCTATTTGTGAACTTCAACGACTACATCCTGTTGTGTCTTTCAAAAGGAATATATATTAGTATATCAACAATTTTAAAACCATTTTTTTCAAGAAACTATCATCTGCTCATTTCTCACTATATGCCATATTCTGCTATTTGCCCTTTCACAGAAATCCTATTGATATAATCAATTCCTTTAACATTATCTCGAAAGTTTTATTGTCCAATTAACAATGATTTAAAGATAAGATTCAAAATGTTTTATGGCCTAGGAGCAGCTGAAGGTTGAAAAGCTTTAGGCAGATGAGTAATTTTCAAGTGTCAGTCATAAGTGGTGACAGAAGCCTAACACATATTCCTACTTCAACTTAATCCGTAAATCCTTCATACACAGTGAAACATATCCTCATGTTACAAGATCACAGCTGGATGTGAACGAAAATTTTTTGCATATAGCGACAGAGGAAAAACCTGGAACTACTGCAATGTCAGACACAGAAACATCCTGTACACTAACAGAACATTTTGGCTTTATTGCAGAGTTTGGAAAAGGACTTAGCGCAGTAACACTTCCAGCTGTTCAACATATTGCTATGCTTCATTCCACAGTCTGCCATAAGGTTCTCAAGAAGAAACAACTTCCATTATTTCAAATTCCCTTCTCCCTGTAGCCCACTTGAAATTTAGCAGCTTTTAAACAGCACCATCTGCACTGCCTGACAAGCAGACCAATCCCAAAACTTAACGAACATGAATCTAACCTTCATTCCTTGTGGCTGTAACATAATTGAACCACTCTTTCACGCTGGCAACTCCATGGGGAGGGTTTTCATGGCGGCGCCTTGTTATCTTTGTGATTGTCGCCATAGGGCTTTCAAGGGCTCCACATGGTTTGGTGACCATAGTGTTATGGCCCAAATGAAAGTCCAGGGTTTGCACAATATACGTGGAGTGTTCGCTGGTACCTGCATTGAAGGTGTGGGCAGCATGGGGTGAGAGAGAAAGAAACGGAAAAGAGCAGCTTGGTAAGGGTAGTAGGATGTCTCCCCTCTCTCTCCTCTCCTTGCACAGGTATTTAACATGAAAAAATTAGTACGCCAGTAGCATTAAAAAAAACGTATAAAGCTTGCAAACAGCAGAAAAATCAAATCCTCTATAGCTACAGACAGTAAAAACTTCTCAGTAAGACGATAAATATGAGTAGTAAGACCATCAAAATTCATCATACAGAAACAAAGGACTATATAAACACAGCCATACAATTAACAAGGCAGACAATCCACTTTGTAGGCATATTATCAGGGACATAGCTAGTATATTTGAAAAAGTATTTTGCATTATTCCATTGATAAGCAAATTGTGGTAAAGATGGAGAGAGAACAGATTATTTTTTAGGTAAGTGGTATATTATTGGGAAATAATCTTGATTCAGATTTAAAGAAAGTAAGTTTTTCTTTGATTTCCTCTTACATATCAATACATTCTTAAAACTAATTTAAAGGATTTTAGAGAAGTGGGGAAATGGTTTATTTACCATCCTCCCAAACTTTCTGGGCTTCTGTCCAAAACGCAATATTGGGTTCTTCAAGGTGAAATAAGGCCCACGATTTTGAGCGGAAATTAGGTCCGTGAAAACAAGCCAGCGTCATATGGTTTCCATGCAGGCTCATGGATCCTCCAAATTGCATTCCATCTTCTGGCAAGGGCATCGGAAATAAGGATATATGGCACCCAGATACCACTTTCAGAACTCCTGGCCAATGGCGATGATGGGCTGCATCCAACACTAGAAAGTAAACGTGCAATAGCAAAAACAAACTTTAGGAAAGCGAAAGATACAGAATAAATTGCTGCCATATTTATATTTTTAATAAACCATGGAATTATGAGCAATATTTTCTTCTTTATTTCACTGACACCATTTCATCTTCGTGACCTAAAGTGGTTGTAGCTTAAAGTCTACCTGAACAAGCATACTTGCAAATCAATGACTCCTGTTCAGATAAATTACGGTTTCAGCTCATGATTAATAGAAAGTAAGAACAACATCCCACTTCTGCTGCTACTCAAAGGAGAAATTTTTTTTATGAAATAGACTTCAAAATAGACTTTGAAAAAGTTCGATAGCTGCAAAAAAGATTTTTTTATTTTTTAAACAAAAATACATATTTTAAACTAAAACCCCCAACTAACATAAGTTAGTTCATTATTGTACCCCAGGTCCAGCAGAGTACTTGAGATATTTGCATTCCTTGTTGAAAGGTTATTGTCGGCCCAAATTTACAGGAAAAATGTACTGAAGAAACTATTTCAAGTCAAATAGATATACTTGCATGTATAAAGTTACTCAGATGAATTTTTGCAATTAAAACATCCTACTCGGAGGTATACTATTTTGTGTACCACTTACATTGCTCATGTGAACTTCTCTCTATGTTGTTGGACATTGTCTTGGGAGGGAGATAAGGAACAGGTCCCCAAGTGGACAAAGCTCGTTTACTTGTATCAAACTGCTGAGTAAAGAACTCTTGGAGTTTCATTCCTATTTTTATTAGGTCTGGTGTAGTCGATCTTGAAATCATTACTTGGAAGATATCCCATTTCAAGTCCCCATGGACAAATATCTCACTAGATATTAAAAATAGCAAGAACATTAGCAGTTAATCTATTTCCTACTGACAATTAAAAAACAAACAAAACCAAACCAACCAAACCCACAACGAACCCTTTGATTTCTAGCAGACACTTACATTTTTCGTTAGCAATACTGGACACAAGACATATAGGCAGAATTTGACCTTATCAAATAGTATACATTTTAAACACAGGAAGCAGTGTTACCTTTTATCAGAGATGCTCGAGTCCAAAGCATTATACAGATTAATTTTCCATTCATCCTGTAGTTTAAGATCAGCATTACTGAAGATTCCCATTAGGATACTGGACCCCATATAGTCAACACGTGCTTCAGTAGAACCCATGGTAATTTGAATTTTATGACTGGGCTGTTGATTTGGGTGTTCAGAAATATGAGCTGAAATAGAACCAAAGCAATATAGAAATGAAGCATTTAAGATAAGAAAATCAGTTTTTCCAGTGATATCACCCTTACGCCACCCACAAGATACAGAGGGACCGAGAAAGCACTGTTTTTTCCCAGGTGCATGGGCAAGTCATGACTCTGGTGTAGTGTCGGAACACCCAGCCTCTTTCCAAAGCCAGTTTTGCATTTCCCAGATCGTAAGCACTTGTGAAATTCTAGAATGAACCGAAATGCTATCAAATCTTTCAGTTGCCATCTGTCCAGACAGCTGAAGGGGGCTAGAGGGTTGCACAACTAGATAGCATAATTTTAGAGCAACCCTAAGACTGAAGCAGCCCCTGATCAGAAAGATATCCCCGCAATTCAAAGTCTGTTTTACAGTCAGAATGCACAAGTAAGCATACAAAGTTTTTATATACTAGCAGGTTCACAAAGAGAGGTACTGCGCATATTCTTTAGTGTTTCACATTTATTGTCTGGAGCATATACTAATACCAGGTAGCTTTCCAACTTACCCACCATCTCCAGGGTATTAACATCTATGGTACCTCCAACAACACCCCCTCTGGAGTCCAGCTGTGATCTTCCCAAGCCAACAGACATGCTAATTTCCCGGTCTCTGCTACTACCCACAGACAGACGGCCCTGGCTTTTCAAACCACTGGTGGTCCACCTAGAATAGAGGGAAAAATTGACAACAGTTTTCCAGGCCGGCAAAAGAGAACTTGAAAATTATGTACTGCAAAGCAGTGAATAACGTGGTTTAGGCGTACGTGACTTCAGGATTAAGCATCTAGCAGTATTCATGAGGGGCTTCACACTTCAAAACTGAAAAAGTTAGGATTTTAAAGCTAGAAGACAACAGGTTGTTATCAGTCTGTGGGGAAAATGTTTTTTTGTCCCCAAAACAACACCATCTATTAAAACGTGCTTGATCTTGTTTAGTACTTACGTAGTGTTGCCCATTACATTGCTCATATTCATTTGAACATTTAATTGTTTTAGGTTCATAGCAAATACGACCAGTGTTTCCCATGGTGTTCCTTGCTGGTTTCCAGCTTTATTTGACTTATTAAATGGAGTTGATGTTTTTGAGAGAGTATCTAAACAAAAAAAGTAGACAAAAAATTAAATTATACCACATGCTAGGAAAAACTGGCAGAATATATCCATTGTACATATTACAAAAGGACAGACTAACACCATATTTAAGGAGCACCACAAAACTACGAGTGAGGATAAGTGAGAACTAGAGGATTTGCAATATGCATTCCTCTAGTTGTCATAGAAATTGACTCATTTTACAGGACTTATTTTTACTAATATCTTTAAGAGAAATGATTTTTAATTTGCAGTCAGTCATGCAAGAGCATATTTTAAATTATTTAGCTGTTTAAAAATACCAGTGCATTCAGAAAATGAATTATTAGTATTTGAATATACTAGCAGTTATTTGCACAAGTGCCACATCAGAGTTTCAAGTATTAGGGTTTTCCTTGCTTTTCTCACAAAAATCCTGGCAATACTCTTATAAGCCTGTGCAAAATTGCATTTCCTATCATCAAGCCACTCTACCAGCCATAAATCCTTCTCCAGCTGTGTCTTCTCCTAAAAACTCTTCATAAATAACATCTTGTTTGCATTCTAAATAGAGAAAATACCTGTCCTTTCTTTTCTCACATGGTTTTCCTAGGCTAAAGTAAGCACCATACTCTAAATCTCCTATCTATATCTAACACCATAAATATTCCACACAGCCAGTGCTACTCTGCTATAAGAAACAATATAATAACATTTGTAGTAAAAGGAATTAAAAGTTACTTTATTTCTTATATAGAAACTACCCTTATTTAGACCTCTTCATATAAGCCCAAAGTCTCAGATGAAATGAAATAACAGAGCTCACCTGTGAGCTGTGACACTGACCCTCTGCTAAGAGTGTGGTAATTGCTTGGATGTGAGAATAGAAAGCCAAGAAGATGACAATGTGATCAAATTAAGCTGGAGAACTCATCTAATCACAGCTAAACAACTCCTGCTGTAGTAAAAAAACCTGCAATTTTATAGAAAGTATGCTAACAAACTACACTTTGATTCACCCATTTCAGACATTTTCCTTTCTCTAAGCCATTGACTCTCCACTCCCAGGCACAGTGGAAAAGAATATTTTATCGTTGCTTTCTACAAAGCAGCAATAACATACTTTTTTCACACAACTGATGGAAATACTTTAAAAAAACTAAAGAAATCATCATCTACTAACCTCTCTGAGGCACTGAAGAGTCAGACACGCTCCTGGATCTTGTAACAGCTGGAGACTTTAAGCTATGAGATGCTGTCCCAGGTGACATACTGCTGCTTGCATTATGTTCACTAAAAACATTAGGTGACTGTGCCATGTGTGTAAACGAAGCAGATTGGCAGGGCTGCTCCCACGTCCTACAGTATGCTTTCCGTGATGATTCAGGAGAAAGATGCTGGCTTACCCCTTCAAGTGAATCTGGTGTTCCAGGGCCCGATGCTACTAGAAAAAGAAGCAGCACATGAAAGGCAGAAAAACTATTTCATTTTTGCTTAACAATATCCTCCCATATATGAAGAAGTATTTGGAGATTGTCAAAATATATTTCATTTATTGTAACTAAAGGCTTTCTACTGTCTGCATTAATATAAGCTCTAAATAATTCAATGACCTGCTTCAGAAATTTTCTGTTTCTTCTTTCTAGGATTTTCTATGAAATTTATTAGAGTGTCTACATATGGAGTAAATTATAATACATTTATATCTAGTCACATAATAATACACAGGTAATAAAAGTTTTTAAAATTCCTACTCTAACGTCTGGTACAAAAAGGGTTTTTCATGATAAGGAGGAGTATCTTACCTGGCAGATTTATTGTTTGGTCACCTAGGAAAAGCCGTCTAGCAATGCTTCTCCTGTACCAAGCCCTTGGAAAGGCTAGAATCTCACTCAGTCGGCGCATATCGTATTTAAAAGAAGCAGATCCTATATCACAGACAGCTGAAAAAGAAAAAGCATATACACACAACTGTAAACTCTCCGTAGTAACAGGTTTTGGTAACCAAATCTAATTAATAGATGATCAATATAGTCAAATACTTCTTTACCTAGCAGTATAATCACTGCTGTAATGAAAAAATACTCTCCTGAAGTGTTGTCATTTCTCCAAATCCAATATTAGATACAAACACATTTCATAAAGGCAAGATGGAACCTAAGAATGTAACTGATGTTGGGTCCTACTTGTGTTGTATGCGCACAACCATTCTGCCGTTTGCCCAGTAAGTCAGGATCCCATGTGCAGTGGGGGAAAAAAAAAAAACACCAATCAAATCAAATCAATTAATCTCTAAATCCCAGTTTTACTTCAAGGTTCCTTGAATATTCAGGAGCCCAGCTCTCAGAGTAGCTTCATAGGCACCAGGTGGCATGGTGGTGAAATTTGACAGCTAGTAACTGAACACAGACTGCAGAACTACATCACTGACTTAGACATGCAGCAGTGCAGACAGAATTAAGATAATAACACACAGCAAATGTCAGACTAATAAAAAAATTAATGAAGAACACTAAGAATGCAGCTTGTAATCTAGGAGATTCAGCTGTCGTTTTTAATGAGCACAGTATGTCATCTCTATAATACCACATTTAATGGTGCTACATAATCCCCTGATTATTTTTTTTTTTTTCTTTTCTGTGGGGAGATTGCTTGAAAAGGAGACTATTTCTAATTTTCATATAAGACTAATAAAAAAATTAATGAAGAACACTAAGAATGCAGCTTGTAATCTAGGAGATTCAGCTGTCGTTTTTAATGAGCACAGTATGTCATCTCTATAATACCACATTTAATGGTGCTACATAATCCCCTGATTATTTTTTTTTTTTTCTTTTGTGTGGGGAGATTGCTTGAAAAGGAGACTATTTCTAATTTTCATATAAAAAAGAAAAAAAAGGTGAGCGTCCATAAAAGACTTTGTCCTATTCAGGTAACAAAAGACAGCCGTGAAATACCTGTTTCTGAAGAGAGGACTATGAAAATGGGTGGTTAGTGTTTACCAAACTAGGTCCAACTGAAAGCTTAACCAACTTTGGGAATAAATTTAACATAAAGTTGTATTATTATACTAGTTTATCTCTAGTTATAAAATATTTTTAAATATAGATATAAAA